AAATATGGTAAATCTAAGATGATTTTATCCATGATACTCTCCGATCGAATGTTACTCAGAAAAAGAGAATGTAAATTCACCAATTGACGAAGTTCTAAACCATGTGAAAAAAATTCATCGATTTGTCGCTGAACTGAACTGAACTGAATTTTTATTTTTGCAAGCATGGTTATTGCAAAGAAAGGCTAGCTTATGCTAATGCAACACCGAAAAAAGTGAAGAAATAAAGAAATACGGTGTATCATCATCATCGGACAGACAAAGTGAAGTTATTCGATCCAGCATACAACTATTCTTTTCTTTTCTCCTCTTATCTTTGACGACCATTCTTGTTTTTCAATATTTACTTCGATTCTCATTTTTTTACTCCTGACGTGTACTGCTTCTTAGTGTCTCTCCACACCGAAAAACTCTTCAAGTTCATTATCTCGCATCAATCGCGGATGACTTTGCACTGGTAAATTATCAGTAAACATGAAATATTTTTGATCGATAGGTCTGGCAGATAACGTTGAATTTTTTTTCCATTGATGATTTTTATACAATTGATCCATAGCATATCGAATTATTATCCATTTCAAAATAGAAGAACCGTGGGTATTTTCTTAATAACTTTTGATAGGAACAAGGTAGAAACTTGCGGTTTGTTGCGTTCGAAAGAGCAAAGAAAGACGCATCGAACGGTATGTGGGAAACTATTTCAATGTCTTTCTTTCACATTTATCGATGGATGTTTTTCAAGGCCTTTGTCTAGTGCCCAGTCATGATGGTTTCTTTTTTCGTTTCTATAGCACGTTGGAACCGCCAAGTGAAGATCTACAAAACTAGCCATAGCCCAGATTTCCATCTGCTATGGTTCAAAAGTTATAGGGATTTCATTTAACCCCTATACAGCGGTTTTTCAGGCAATTTTCCAGGCATAGGGCTGCTTGTTTTATCGATTTCTCGTGTCAGGTCATAGGTTTTCGACCCTTCTGAGTCGAATGGACACTTTAATTTCTCGCTACAAGTCTCTTAGAGTACGCTTTGGTCACATAGGGTACCCCAATTGGTAAGAGGATGACCATAAATACGTGTAAACCACCGTGAGAAGAAAATTTAGAATAGGTTTTTGGCTCTTCTGAATCGAATGAAGACACATTCTGCGCTTTTTGAACTTAATCATACGATGAAATGACTCACAAACTCGTTTTCGATGAGAAACTGGTAATGCGTCTCATCCTCGAGTCCCTTAGCACGTTCTTTGTAACGTTTTATCTTCAGTGCCGATTTTTTCTTTACTTAATGTATACTAAAAAGATATTTCAATGCACGCAAAAAAGTCTTGGTCATGATTTGCTATCAATCTGAGGTTTCGTCCAGCTCGACGTCCATGGCATCTTGATCATCATCATCTTGACTGTCTTCTTCATTGTCCTCTGCGTTTGATTCATCATCGTCGTTGTGTTTGTTGTCTCCGTCGCTATTATCATCATCTTCGATTATCTGTTCTTCTATCTGCTCGATGAAAACATCTGACTTTTTAAACGTATTTTCGATATTGCATGCGTGATTGATATACGAGATCGCGGTCGCGGGGTCTCAGGATTCCATCCAATTTTCAGCCAAAGTCCGAACTTCACTTAGGCGAAAGTTTTAATATTGTTATTACGCACATAAGTTTTGAGACCAGCCCATGCTAGCTCAATTGGATTAAACATGCAGTGCTTCACTGGCAAACTGTACACAGTGTCGAGAAAATCGGGGAATAATGGTGACAAGCTTAAAGGACACAGTCGGACTAACAATCTCTCGAATAATACAAAGGTTCACTGAAATGAATATTATTTTACCATCTAAATTAACTTATAAGCACAAAACTGGGCACGATGGGGCAGGGAGTCAGTCGGTTTATCGATCTTTAGATAATCCTATGAATGATCCTAATATATTTGCAAAGATGTTTGTACCTCTCTCGTTGACAAACACACTGACGGAAGAAATTTTGTGGAAGAACGAAACTCCCAATAGCGCGTTTTACACGAGACCATTAGCTCTTATTGCGGAGAAGGAGAGTGTGGACTTGATTCGATTTATCAATGAAACTTTCGAAGTTCAAGAACAAGATTTACGGGAGAATAAAATTGAATTTGTACATGGTGATAAAAAATATGAAATTTCTGTTGCAATAGAGGACAGTATGAAAGACCTCAAAGTACGAACAATGGAATCTGGACTTGGCGGTGCTTATTGCCTCATGTGTGAAACGCATCATACAGTGTAGAAGCATATCCCGATCGGGCTATATATCCCGATCAGCATATATATCCCGATTGGGCTATAGAATTATATCCCAATCGGGATATTATAGCTCGATCGGGACATATTTTACACTATATCCCGATCGGGCTATAATTCTATAGCCCGATCGAGATATACGACTTTTCTAATATCCCGATCGGGATCTATGGTTTTTTACGTTTGTTAATTTAAAAACGCACTCCAGCTGTGTTTTGTTCTCTCGTGCGTGTGGTCAGCATGTGTGTTATGGCTCTGTAGTATATTATAGTTCTTTTAGTATGTGGATACCAAAAAGATCAGTAGCGAAAAGTTCAATCATTTACAGGTTTTTCAACTTTTTCGGCAAACCAGTTCATTGGATGAAAGTTTTCAGTTCAAACAAGAATTAAACGAGATGTTATTTTCTGTTTTCGTTTTTTTATGACCTGTTACCATTACAAAGATATTTAAGATTCAAAATTTTAGAGGTCACTAGTCTGCTCGATAGAAGGCGACTTCTAAACTAAAGAATAGTGGATATCTCTATCCACTTCGATATTTATTTTTGATGTTAACTGCTAATGCGTGATAGAGTTTCAATTCTTGGTCTTCATCCAAGAGATCATTTATCAATGCATCACAAACTTTATCCACTTCAATATTTAATGATTCATTCACACTCAGATTTTCAAAATCGATAGATGAAATATCCTCTTCATCGTCCTTCTGTTGATCGGCTTTGGGAGATTTGGCTTGAGGTTCGTCTTCCTCGATGTATTCAGTTGCTTTAGTTACACATAAATCACAAATGTTTTGGCATTTTTCTTTTAAAAATTGCTTTTCATTTAAAAATTTCAGAACGTCTGCTTTAATTTTGCCACTATGAATTTTTAAGAGCGTGAGTTCCGCGTTTCCATTCCACAAACTGTGCCAAGCATTGCCACAAACGCTAAGATGATGTCGACGTTTGTTCGGCATTGGAAAAATTTAACTTTTAAAAGAATGTACTCATGTCAAAAGAAAAGCATTTTTTTTTAGACAAAGGTCGATCCAGAGTTTGAACATCGACTGCGATGCGATACTCAGTCGGCCAATCGCGATTGACGAGGATGACTTTACCTGAATATTTTACTGGATGCCGCTGCCTTATGCATGTCCAGAGTAAGAGAAAATGTCAAGATATTTCGAGAAAGTGTTAAAAATAGCTAGTAAAAAAAGTAAAATATCCTGATCGGGATGTAGAATATGAACCTCGAGAATTATTTAAAAAAAGGTTGCTGACCGGAAAAAAGAGTTAACCATGAGGAAAAAAGAATCTAGTGTAGTTTTTCCTCCTCTTTCTAATGGTGATGTCAAAACTTTCCGCGAACATCATCATTTTTTCGCTAATAAATTTTATTTCAAAAAATCGAATTTATATCCCGATTGGACTATATGTTTTTTGGCTATATCCTGATCGGATATATTTTGATTCAAAACGGGATATATATCCCGATCGGGATATACAGCATGCGTCTCTACTGTCATAGCGAATGGAAAAATAAGAAGAAAATAGAGGAAGACAATTACTTTGCCATTACTCGCTCGGCGGAAAAGACTCGTAATTTATTCGAAGAATTGGTCGATGAAAGAGGGCAAATTAGGAAAACCAAAGATGATTAAGCGACACGGGGCGGACTTACGACAGAACCAATTAGCATTAGTGACCAGCACTACATTACACTTACCCACCAGTATATTAATGGTGTGCACTGGTTCCTCAACATACTCTATCGACTCAAGGCGAACCTTCCAGTTCCACCATGGTGGAACTGATCTCGTCAAAGGCATTCAGAGAATGCATGAGTTAGATTCCATTCGTCTGCAAATTATTGAATGTCGTGACACACCATGTTCGGCGGATCACCTGGAATTGCAGATCTCTCAATAGAGCCCGATGTTTCAAATGTTGTTCTTTACCTATCGAATCAGAACTCGAATCGGCTGCAACCAATAAGATGACGATTTTACCGAGTTGTTCTCTCGTCGTAGGAGAAATGTCAAGAATGCCATCTACGTGTATAGTTACAAAGATGGACAGATAGAAATTACAATAGAGATTGATCCCCTTGGTGTCGTTTCATTAAGACAGAGTCGCCGTAATTATTATTATTTTTTTGGTTCGAATAAAAGAAAATTCAAACAGATATCTTGGATTTTTTGTTACAAGAGCATTCAAAAAAGTCAGAATTGATAGTTTTCAGGTCATTAGATGAGTTGTATCCAATCATGACAAACGACGTCGAATAAACGCTTGCCGATGTAAATTGTTAATAGCATAAAAACAGCAACAAACCAAGTTCACCGTAAGCTCAACCATCTGTGACTAATCGTCATAAGACAATAAATAAGCGTCGAGGTTGATAGTTGACACATCGATAGTGAGTTTTTTTCCTTCCGATTCTCAGTCCCAGTGGTAGCTTGTTGAGAATTCTGCAAAGCATCTACGAGAAAATTTTTATAGCAAGTCATAAGCTGTCGGATTAGAAAGCCTACAAAGTCTTTTCAGAACTCCTTCTGTAAGATAATTCTTCGAGTGGTTGTACGAGAGGGAGCTCTCAAAATCTTAGGTAGCTCATGAAAACCAGTTATTCGTGATGAAGACGAATCGAAATTTATATCTCTATTAGTGGAGGAAATAAAATTATGTAGCCGCCAGAGTATGTTCAACGATCCTTTTTTGTAATCCCGACACGAAAGCGACGAAGAATTTGGCGTATGCTACTTTTGTGATGTCTTCAGGTGTCATGTTTCGCGTACTAGCTTCACAAAATGACGAGGTTTTACCTGTGATAACCGGTACAGTTATTGTAATCACGCCGTCCTCATACTTTGTATCGACTGCTAGGAGACCATTGAGCGTGTTAAGATGGCTTACCCCCAAAAGAGATAATAACATCAGAAGCGGCTGCGGTGTACATGAGAGTGAGTCACAAAGAACTATTATCTCTTTTGCGAGTGAGCCGTTAAGAGGATACGTATAAAGTGCAAGGAACCAAATCGATGGAAAAAACAGAAGGAATGTAGCTAATATATTTTCAGACAACGCCGTTTCTCTGCTTAAGTAATAAATTCAATCAGGATCTTATTTCTGAGAAAAAAAGCGCGAAATTTAGCGAGTGCTTCCTATTGCCGCGCTTTATTGTTAGATATCGTTCAAAATAAACGATTAACAGGTACTAAGTAACGCACGCTTAGAGTACAATAATTAACTTCAATAACTTTTCATATCCATGCAAACATAATAATTTTCATGTTTGTGTGCATCATTTTCCGCGCAGCATAAAATAAACATTGTGACAAAAACCAAATAACGTTGGAATTATCCTCGCTTTATTGAATGCTGTCGGAGCTTTACTATTGGATGCAAGCGCATGAGTGCCGAAACACCATGAAAAATGCATAACTCGTGATTGTTATGATATTTTATCATAAGATGACTTAAGGGGTTTTATGCACTACAAACAGATGTTTGCTATTGAGAATTCAAAAATTCAAATATTAGTGAACTTTCAAATCATACATGTCAAGATGGCAAATAAACAAAGATGCGGGCATGAAGCAGGTCAAACGAAAGTCAAGACAACATACAATGAATCGAAACCACCACTGGAATAAAGTAGACCAGAGACTCTACGATCAGGGTTTCTAATGAGAATTCTCAGCAGCGCGTACACAGATGTGGTAACTCGTGGATTTTGTCGTTCTCTCTTTTCCTACTGCTTGATACAGAGCGTATTTTCAATTTAGTTCGCGTACCGTACGCTTTGGAACAAAGGCGTACGCGTAATGTTAGAAACACTGTCTACGATTACTTGCAGTAAATATGCGCTAAGTTCTAAAAACACAAGTTTGAGTAGAATAGGCTTAAAAAAGCATTTCTTTCGTTTGACTTTAGTCTAGGGTCTTACAGAATGGTTGTCTGCGTGTCTTTGTGTGTGCAGAATACGGAAAATGGTTGTCAGATATTCCATGGATAAGCTAATCACAAGAGCCCAGGTCCAACATTACGACTACCGTAAACGATATACGACCGCCGTAAATCACCGTTTGCGGTCGTATTTGCATCGTAAACGGCCGTATACGGCGCAAATACGGCAGTAAACGGCCGTAACTACACCGTAAATACGCCGGCCGTTTTACGACCGTAACTGCGCCGTGACCGTTAACGGTCAGTTTAGAAAAAATTATTTTTCGTTTCCAGCATCTTCTACAGAAGATGTATACAGAGCTTCAGGACGTCACCCATGCATGGTATCGTCTTGAATATCACTTACCACTCACATACATACAATTATAATTGTTTACCAGGATTGAGATTCGAACACACGTACCTAGAATTATAAATCCAGCACATTCTGGTTATACCATATTGCTTGTAAACAAAAGTGTAAATTTGCTATCCATGTTTGCAATAAATACCATGAATTTCCACGCGTGGGCTCCCATGTATGAAAATACCTTACGACAGCTTCCGTCAAACTTCCATATATAGTATAGTAATCATAGTTTGCTGAAGTGGAAACAAATTTTAAGGTGCCGCCGAGAGATTGGCCACCAACTGGCCGATTTTTTGCTGTTTTGAGAATGTTAACGCGCCGTTTTTTGTGCCGTTAACTAGACGTTAACCGTTTTTTTGGACCTCGGTAGTTGATCAAAAGAACACTTTGATACCATTTTGATCACATAAAGAACACTAGTTCATATCGGAAAACTTATAAGAATACATTTTGCGATGGGATTCCAGGGAACACAGGTCACAGGAAATTCGCCATATACGGCAGTCATAAACCGCCGTATTTCGCCGTAATACGATCGCCGTATAAAAAAAACCGTGATCGTGCGTAAGACTTATATTTCAATCGTGATCGTGATCGTGAGCAAAAAAAACAATCACGCAGAACTCTAGTGGTAAGAATCCTAAACAACCTATCATAAACGAAGCAAAATAAACTATTAAGTACTAAATTCATTTAACCTTAATTAGAGTATGCAACTGAACACTGATTCTTTTCTAAAAACAACGCTACATGTTTGATGGTCATCAGAAGCCAAAATAACTACCGACTTTACGGTGTGATGGATGACTTTTTATCAATCAGAAGCATTCCATGATTTATCAATGGATCTTTTTCTGAATTTGCGTTGAAAAAATTACAGTTTTTGTTGTTAACGCGCTCTATGTTTCAAACTCAAACGTTGGAACATGTGAATTCATCGAAAAACCGATCATACACAATTCGAACGCGTTTGATCATAAAGAAAAAATGTGTATTCCTAAAGAAGACCTATTTTAACTCGTTTACGCGGATAGAATATCTTTTAACCCGCACAAACTTGTTCAGGGATGACTCATCAAATTTTCAAGCGTTCAAACGCGTGAAAGCAGCGATTGAGCAATCACGATTTTGTTTTGCATAACCAAAGCATATATAAATATCACGCCTTTTCCTTCGAAATATTTGCTCAGAAGTTTTTCTCTTGCAATAAATTACTGTGACTAGTCCACCCTAATGGTACTGATGAACAGTGCCTAGTGGACCATAACCTGATGGAGCCTAGGATCCATCAACAAAAAACCAGTGCCTGATTAGTACAAGAACAAAATCATACAAACGCGTTAAATATATTAACGCATTCTAACCAGTTAGAACATTTTGAATTCAAACAATTTTATTCTTCCGAATATTAACGCGTTCGAAGTCGTTAAAAAACGACCAAGTTTGAACGCTCTGCTACTGAGGTGTAACGTTCGTACACGTTACAAATTGAACTCGTTAAAACCGCCAAATATGAAACATTTAACGCGGTTTTAACGCGTTAAGCCGCTTACCTGTCGCGTTACAGTTTCAAACCTTTCCTGATTAACTAGTAACTCAGCTTTAACTATTTTTGTAATGAAATCATGTTTTAACCAGTTAGTATTAATTTCAAGACAT